AAATGCTCCACAAAACCCCAGGACACACAGAGCTAGGGGGAAGGGGTGCCAAACCCTTCTTATCTCCTTCCCTCGGTTTCAGTGTGCAGCAATGAAACGGAGAGCAGTTTTGCAACTGGCTCTGGCAGCTGCAGAATCGCATCCATAGTGTTCACATTCCCAGCAGTCACGTAACTGTTCTTCCATGCAAATGCACACAGAGCCCTCTGCATGCACCTCATCTCCCACACCAGTCCCCAGAGCTTTACTGACGCAGCAGCCAGCAAGGTGAACTGCAGCCAGGAATGGCTTCCTTGTTGCTATGTAAAAGAGCAGGATTTATTGATAGAAGTATTTGTTCCAGATATCTTGAAGTCTTTTAATTGTAGCCCTAATAAATTGCTGCTCTTCTGACCCTTCTGAACAGCACCAAATTTGTTACAGCATGTGGAGATGAAAGAGAGGACAGATTACAGTGACCTACCTGAACGAGCAGTCTTGTTAGAGAGATTTAAGTGAAAGGGGCAGAAGTGTGACACTTCAGGTTATTTTACATCTCACTTCCCTATGCTTCTGAACACTGACTAAAGGCACTGCAGCCTCCAGTTCTGCCTGACAGGAAAGCACTCAGCACAGCGCTCTGAACCTGCTCTAACGCATTTGGGTTCATTTTCCACAATAAACCCTTGTCTTGGATCAGCTGTACCAGAAACTGCAAATCTTTCAGCCCATCTAGACCACATGCAAAGATTAGACCGAGTTTCAACCAACCTCAGATCCGTTTGCTGCACTAAATTAAAAGCCTGTGACACTTGGAAGGCTTTTGCTGCAGGGCAGGTTCAGAAAATGTTACCAAACCTGTAGGCACCACAGATGGCACTGAGTCAGGCTGCCGCACCCAAAGGTGTTTGGTTAGCAGCAAGAGGGTGATGGGTTCAAGGACGTCCTTCAGTGACAAACTGGATGCCACCCGCACTGCTTTGTGCTGACTGGGCTCAGCAGCTGAACACCAGGCTTTGAGAAGTCAGCATGACACACCTTTTTCTTGTGAGGTTGGTCAAGCACCCTTTCTATCAATGTTCCTTTACAATCTCCATCAACAAAAGACACAGTGACGCATCAGTAGTAAATGAAGCACTGTGACCGGAGTGTCACATGCTGTCTGCTCTTCGTCAGGTTCAACAGATATGACCTCTTGGTATCATGGGTTCTCTTCTCTTCATCTCTATTTACATACATCCTCCAAATGCTGTAGGAGTTAGTGCCAGAAAGAAGGAAGAGAGCCTAAGCTCTGAAGGCTTCATTTCCTATGTATGTAAGTACTTTCCTGCTTTTCTAGGTAGTTCCAGAGTGGGCAATTGTCATTAAATTCAAGGACTGATTGGTTCTACATGATTGAGATTAAATTATAATGACGTTGATACAATACCAAAAAAACTTAATTAATTGTTCTTCACCACATCAAAGCCCAAACACAATATCAGCAATTGTATATGCTGCAAGAACACATTATTTTATTTCAGATGTTGGAAGAGAGGAGGATTGTTGATAAAGGTGGTTTTAGTCCACTTTTTCAGCTCTGTCTTACCCTACTTAAACTCCCAAATATAGCATTAAATTTGCCAGTGCTACAATCCCCTCTTTAAAATAGATACTATTCTTAAAAATTTGTAAAAACAAGGTATTAGAAAGAGCACTTCAGAGGAAAAGGAGCCAGATGTGCTGGCACTTCTCAACCTATGGTCTGTCAACCATCAAAATGTAGATGAGAAAATGGCAAAGCTTTAAGCATGCATATATCCATGCAGGCAAACAAACAAGAAAACCCACACATAAAAGTAAGAACCAAGTGTCAAACTTAGCCTATTTTTCAGTAGGGGGTGTTTAAAAAGCATTAAAAAGCACTATGGCAACACTACACACATTAATAGTTTAAAAAAAAGAACTAGACACGTGGAGAAAGTGGGTCAAATTCAATCCTTATCTAAGAAGACAGATGCTAGTGCAGTCAATAGAGTTTAGTTAAAGCTTGAATGGGTACTGCTCCATGAGTAACAAAAAGCATAATGAAGAAAGAGTGCAAATCTCTGTATATTATGTGTGCATATGGAAATGCCTCAGAAAAGATGTATAATTTCCTTTACATTTACAACTGGCTTCTCTGCATCCTGTCTATCAAGTTATATCCTCCACCCTTTTCCCATTACCTAAGAAGTCTTAACTGCCCTGCTGCAAAGTTCCCTCTACCTGTGCACTGCCTAGCTTGTCAGGAATGATCCTTTCTGCATTATTTAGAAATATTCCCTCCAAGACAAAGATGGTTCCTGCTGAAAGTTGCGCAAAGTTTTGTTATTATCTGACCTTGTGTCCTCCTGGCTGCCCACAGCATCTTCACCTCAAACTCACGATTTCTCAGCTGGGAAAGGAAAGGAGGTTCTCTGCCAGCCCTGCAGTTCATTCAGGCTTTGCCCCACTTCTCTGACAATTCTGGCTGTATTAGCAGCTTTTAGCTGTCTCAATACACATACCACATTGGCTGTATTACAATAAAGCTTAATTGTCACCAGATAAATATTGTTTAAGCATCTGAAGCAAGACAGATTTGGAAACTACTTTGCATGCTAAATCAGGGATGCTCTGGAGCTGCACCCTGGAAGTGCTGAGAACCTTGGTTTTATGGTGAGGCATAACAGTAGTCTTCTAGTTCTTACAGCAGACTAGGAGCTAGAAATCTGAAAAATTGGACAGCCCTGAGTCGCAAACTTCTCAGGTCACAGGGCAACAGGGTCCAAACCTAGCTCTGAGACATCTAGCATCTCTGGCTCTTGCAGTAGCTAAACCTCTAAGCCCTTGCATGAAAGTTTGATAAATATCCTCTCTCTCCAGAAATCAAATTGGAGGTGAAGTTAAAAACCTTGCTAGGTCTTCAAGAGCACAGTGTACAGCACTGTGCTTCATTTCTCTTTGCTTTTGTTTTCAGTCAAATTTCTTTAATCATGCTCATGAAAAGATGTTACTCATTAACATTACTGAGCATCTTTTGAAAATCTGTGGGCCACTGAAAGGTTTCCTATTGTCTTTTCTTCTCCAATTCAAACATCAAACAACACTTAGAAATGGTATTACTAAGTTCACAAACTTGAATGGATAGCAACAGGTGTGATTGGGCTGATTGGTTTTGCAAGAGCTATTTTTCCTGACATTTTAAAAAGTTTATTATCATCTCAGTAGTAAAAATAGTCCTTATGATTTAATTCCATAAACTCAGGAGAATAAATTTATCTATTTTCCTTAACAGGTATCTATTTCAGGACAGCTCAGTGGAACACTTTAGATGAAAGGCAGAACTACCAAGGAGTCTCAAACCTTTCCTTCTGCAAGGAAAAGGGCCCTATGTGCTTCCTTGACATCACAGCACAAAGCCCTGAGTCAACAGGCCACGTAAGCTTAAACAAGCCCAAAAAAAAGGCTTTCCTCACCTTCAGCCTTGCTGCTGCTTGTCCCCCTCTCTCCTCTCCCCTGATCACCCACATTCACGCCAGGAACAGCCTCTACCCTCTTGCAATGAAGTACATAAAAACTAAGTGAAAACTAGCCTTTTCCTGTAAAATAAGCACCATTAAGTTCACGAGCTGTTTCCATTCTAATACTCCAGGGAAATTTTCTGTATCTTTCCCTCTGTGGGGAAAACACACACCAGCTGTTCTGACTTTTATGAAAAATTTACATTGAACACTCAATTTTCTAAGAAGTCTGAATTTCTCCTTGTCACTGACACCCAAATATACAAATCAGCTCAAAACCAAAAGTTCCCAAAACCACAACCCAGAAGACTCACTCTGCAAAACAAATCAAAAAGAAACCCAAGCATGGAACTTCTGCTTTGAATGTCTTCTTTAATCAGGCTCCAAAGGATGAATTCAGCAAGGGAGAACAAATTCTGTTGATTTATTTAGTTATTTATTTTATGTCTTAGTTCAGAGTCAAACTCTCTCAGTTCTCAGGTTACTGAAGGTATTTCAGAATGAAACATCAAATACCAGAGACCGCCCAGAAATCTATGTGACTTACATAATTAAAACACTCTGAGCTACTTGCTTTGAAGCAAAAAGTTTCAAGAGGATTTCACTAAAGGTGCAAAGGGGGCCATACCTCCATTTGGGTTGGGTTTGTTTTCATACAACTTCCTGCACAAGGTGGGGGAGGCACAACATGCATGCATGCAAACATCAGCTCCATGGGAAGTGTCCCTTATCAGCTATTTCTGCTTCCACTGACAGTCACTTTTAACTTAAAATTAGTCTGTTGTTAACTAAAACCATACACTTCTACTACAGCAGTAGTGTAGGGGGAAAAAAAAAAGTTTTATGCAAGCACAAATTCCTATCTGGGATCATTTTGTGTGTTGGGGTGTACCTTATCAAGTGGTCACTGGGAAAGCAGCTAAAGTGACTTGATTCTGTGTCATAGAACTAGAAGAGAGCAGTAATATTAGCAAAAGCCTAGCACTATAAATAGAAAATTCAGCTCTTTTAGGAAGCACTAGCACCCAGAACATTAGAAAGGAGGGAGAGAGATCTCTTTTATACACATCTGGACACATACAGCTTTCCTGGTTTCTGCAAACAGTGTTCATTAGAGATAGTTTTTCTCTGTGGGTACCTACACATTAATTGGCAACCTCATTTGTTATCCTGCTAAAACCATTAACAGTACAATAGTTTTCACACAGCCTTCCAAGCTGTTTTGCTAGATCCATTACTGTTTGAAGTAGTGGGAGATCACCCTTGGTTTTGACCGAGGCTCCTGGATCTTAGCATTTTCTGCCTGACCCTCAGATTTTATGTACTTTATTTATGCAAAAGCCCCCTCATTTCAGCAGAACCATTCAAACACACAGCTACATCCACAGGCAAGCACTTGCAGAATCAGGGCAGTAACCAAACACAATATTATTCCCTTTATTCTGCTGTTCTCCCAGCATAAAAACCTTATTTGTCTTCTACAGCATTACCTCATACCTTGTCTGTCTTTTTTTCTTGTTTTTCCAATATGGCCATATTTTCTTTCAGAACTTTCACAATCTCAGCAGGATTTTTGTGTGATTTACTAAACAAAGGCATGGTCTTCCTTCACCTGGATTTCTTCCTTCAGGATACAAGAGGACTGCCTTAAATCAAACAACAAACAAAACCAGCTTTTAAGGTTTGTACAAAAACGCAATAAAAACACACAAAGACATTATGAACAAGAAAAGGTTACGCTTCAGGCACTACATTTTGCTTCGGCCACCCAGTGGAGCAGTAAAATTTCTCATAGTTCTTGCAAGTTCATCAAAGATTCACAAGCCACCATTAGAACACGAAAAGCAACTACTCAGCACCTGCACAGGAGCTGGAGGCTTCCTGCAGGAAGCTCTGACCTACAGGTCAGCACTCCTGCACTCCAGCACTCCAGCAAGTCTAGTGTAATTTGGACACTGCACATTTGGCAGGCTCCACTAGATTTCACATATGGGTTTCTGTCAGACTTCACCTGCTTCATCACAGCACAGAAAACCAACTGTAGATGCCAGCACACCAAAAGCACCCTTTGTTTAAAGCATTGCAAATTGGAGTTCCAGCTTCCCTGCCATCTCTCCTTCAGTTGCTTTGCTTTGTCAGCCTAGGGGACCTTGAGAGGAAGCAGTTTAAGCTATCCCTTAAGTCTGACAGACTTCAAGAATCTGTGGGTCAGATCTCACTTGTGTAGAACGTTGCCCGAGTTAAATAAAGAGCAGAGGATCAGGCCCAAATATAAACACAAATGTATTCATGACATTTAAATGACAGACTGAGAATTTTAATTAAAATGGATTGTTTGTTTAATTTAAAACATTCTTCTTCTGTATGGTTAGAAAGGCAAATACCACATCACTGAATTTATATATGAAAGAAACCAAGTAGCTCAATTGCTGATCTTACAAAGCCTTAGGCTGTGAATTCTTATGGGTTTTGCCAAGGGTCCTATACAAAGATCTATTGAAGTCAGTGACTGACTACAGATGGGAATATGTTCTGTTTAGAATCTCAGCACTGTTCTGGACCACATTCCAGATGGTGCAATAAAAAAGAGGTAAAAGGGGAAAAAAAAGGGAACAAAAGCAAAAAATAATCTCAAACTTTCATCTCCTTCCACAACAAAAGAAAAACATCACAATTCCTCCACACACACATTTGTAAAATTAGTTGTGAAAACATAAATACACACACAAACCACTTCAATCCTATTACTCTCCAACATTTGCAATTTATAAAAAAGCTTTGTAAAAGAGGTATCAAATAAGAGAACTAAACAAGCTCAATACACACAGCATAAAGAAGAAAACCCAGTGGTCCCAAAGAAACAACTCTTCTCATGCTTCATTGTTACTATGGGCACACTTTAGAGTCCATGAGGAAATACAATCCCATTTGAGCCACACATCCATATGTTACTAATCCCCAAATAATCTATGGAATTAATACCCAGATTAGGCATACATTCTATTGCAAGTATAAATAGTAACCATATAAAACAGACAAGCACAAAATTCAAACTTTAAAAGCAAAGTCTATACAGGCTTTGTCACAATATCTTATTAAAAAACATTTCAAAACACTTTTGCAGATTGTCTTTATAGGAAGAGTTTCTATGACATACAGGAAATATTTTTAAGTGTCTTATTTAAACCAAAAGTTCTTTTATAGTGTCCAAAACAGGTGAATTTGTATGTAGCTTCTCATTTGTTGCTAGGTCAGTTTTACAGGGATATTTTCACATTCAGTGTCTGAAACCTCACCACTTTCGAGTTCCTATTTTCAAATTCCTCACGGTCCTGTTCAAACTCATTTTTATTTCTCCGGTTTTGGCTACATGACCTTCACTCCTCAGCTGAGCTCCCAGCTACAGAGTCCTGCTCCCATGCAGCTCAGAGGTGCAAGTTTTGGCAGCACCAGTCACCAGAGCAGAGTGCCACCTCAGCCTGACAAGGTGCAAGTTTGAAACCTGGGTGTACTAACAGCTCACCTTCTGGGGCATGCTCAGCTACACACAAGCACTGGAAAAGACTGCGATGCCAGTATGACACAATAAAGTTGTTTAGGTACTGCTAGCAAGCGCCAAGCACTCTGTAATCCCACATGTGATGCAAATAGAAGATTAATAATTCACAATACACTTTGAGAAGGACCTGATTCTGCATGTTTTTATTATCCTGAAGGCATGGCATGAGGATGTGATGATGCAAGAGAGAGAACATCTGAAATCAGGAGCTTAACAGGCAAGTTGTGTTTCATAAAAGAACTATTTTCATCCAGGGTGGGGTAGGTATACTCTGATTGCTAAAGCCACCCCTTCATCTTTTCTTCTCAAAAGTCTTCACACAAAGAAAAGCACAGGGGGAGATAAATTGATTTTTCAAATTAAGTACTCATAAACGGGAGGCTCTGAGATTTTTAAAAATGAAGTTCACATTTCTAACTGAAATGCTGACAATAAACTATTATTTCCTCTCTAAAAGTAACTTACATGGCTGTCTAGAGTAGTGTATTTAAAATAATCACTAATTTTGCCATAGAACCAGCACTTTTCCACTGCATAGTTCCAGTATCACCAGCAAGTCACCACAGCACTGCTCAGTGATAAAGTACCATTTTTTTTCCACTACATACCCTACCAGTGTTTTAATCACAACAGCAAAAACACCAATAATAGGGCAGGAAAGGACTCAAGAAACTGTTTAATTCATTGTTCTGTTGAACAAAGCCAAGTCTCTGCATTACTTGTTTAGATACAAAGTCCTATATACAAAGCAAAGCCTCTGCTATATGCAAGTGGAGGGGGCAGAGAGAAAAGTGGGAAGAGCCACAGATGTCCATGAAATAACATTTTTGGATTTATCCCTTCTCAGGATACAGTTTTTAACCTGGCAAAAGATGATCCATCACTTCAGAAAATACATACTGGCAGCTGCAGAACCTTTCGGTTCCCTATGCAGGAATCTTCAAGAGGGACACATGCTGTTCACAGTTACAGGCAGAAGCACAAGGGGGTGAAGTCACTCTGTGAGATTTGGGAGTCATATTCTTTAGTCTTATGGCTGGCTATTCCATAACACAAGTTGCAAAACAAGGACTCCTCCTGCTTTGCTTCACATGACTGGAGTTTCCAGAATCAAAGAAAGCACAGGCTCTTACTAAAGAAGCTTTTATCACAGCTGGGCATTTCTGTCCTGTCCTCCTCTTTGTATCAGCTCTCTGCTCTCTAAGCTTTTTCTTGGAAGGCCTTCTGTTCAGTAGAGGCACTAATTTGGCTTAAGAGGTCCTATTTTTTACATCACTTATTTTCAGTATGTTTTTTGGAACTTGTTTTTTTTTCCTGGCAACTAGTCCTTTGTCAAGGTTGCTTGAATTTCACAGTAAGTTCAAAAGTTACCCTGAGAATTAGGATGAGAAATGAAGAGTGTGACCACATAAGCTTCATTTTCTCAAGAAACCAGTCTAAAAATAACTGAAAAACAAAGATGAATGACAACTGATAAGAATGCAACACCGGCTCACCAAAGGTAGCTCATACTACAGTCCTTTATAAATACATTTTAAACAGAGAAAACACAGTAGAATCCATGTATCTAACATGGAAATGCACTGATTTGAATATAGCACCAAAAAAATAGTTGAAGAAGAAAATTATTGTATCATCTGACTGAGAAGGGAAGAGCAATCTGTGGATGGGATCATATTTAGAGAGGCATAGGAATTAAGAGCCTATCCAAAAATTGTGGTGACTGAAAATATAACGATATTATCAACACATGACTGGAATATCTTTACCTGGGAAACTGGATGGAGTCAAGAACCAAGGTAATAAAAATGGGATAAAAGTTAAGCGAAGGAAGTATCGGATAATGCTGAATAGTGGACGAGACACAGCTTGTAGATGTTCCAGATCCCCAGAAACATTCAAGATCAGATCGGACGGGACTGCGTAACCTGATCTAGATGATGATATCCATGATAGGGGGAATCGAACTAGATGACCCTTAAAGGTTCCTTCCAACCCAAATCATTCTGTGAATATCTGCCTCAAGCTGAGGGCTTACCATCAGCAATGATAAAAACAAGCAGCTGATGACATATACAAACACACAAGTATTTTACAGATGTGAAAAAGACAGATGCAAATCTGTGATGAATCACAAAAGTAATGGTCAGTAGAAATCCAAAGGTATTTATGCCTTTCTACAAATGTTGATAGATCTTCATACTAGACACTGTACATAGCCCTGAACACCCAAAGTCAAGCAAAATCAACAGAGATTAGAGTGGGTGGAGAGAAGCACACTGGATAGCCAGAAAAATGGGAAGACCAGCAAGTCTTGGAGGCTACAAGTGCCCGCTTTCATAAGTTTAGAATAAAAATACAGGAAAGTTGAAAAAAGTTATTTCAGTTTAAATAACAATAACACTATTTATGCAGAAGCAAATGGCTATAAACTGCTGATGAATAAACCTCAGCTGGAAATGTAAAGGTTTCCACCCTTTGGAGCTTTGAGGTTTTCAAATGACCTACTCTACCAGGCACACTACAGAGCATCTGTTCATAATTTTTTGACACTGCTGTCTGGCAGCAAGGGACAGAATGAATGAACTGAATGAACCCCTTTCTTTCCCACTTTCTAGGAAAACTTTTTCCATCTAATGGTTATTCAACATATGTTTTCATAACATCAGGAATGGATTGTGGACACTCCTGAATTCATAACGGAGAACCAGCCAACTTGTGAAACAAACGTTTAATTTTGATGATGTTATTTCACTGGTGCTCTTGAGAGGCGCTTATGAGACCAAGGAAAGAAACAGCTGTATCTTACCAGATTAACTCTCCTGGTCTCAGAGGTTGTCTCTCCCAGTCATGAGGAAAATGCCTCGGCAGTGCTGTAGGAGGAAATGAAATTTCCTAAGCCTGCTGTTTCCATCAGCATGAACATGACATTTCAGACACCAGAGTTGGAGTCCAGCACATTTTAGAAAATCTACTTTTACAAAAATACTTTCATGGAATATCATTCCATCTTTGGGAGAAAAAAATGGCACAGACTTTACATTAGATAAACCATGGAAACACCAAAAGGAAACATTAAAGAACCACTTTCTAAACGTCAGTCTGTTTCTGTTCAAGTCAGGAAAAAAGGAAAAAAGAACCCACACGGACTAAAGCAGAGAATTGAATCCAGAGCTGGATGTGGTTTACAAGACATGAGTTTTAGGGTATTCAGTAGCCTGTCAAAGTTAACATCCTTTCATATTCAGGGCACCCAGCCTCTCAGAGGTTTCCAAATCTACACACACTTAACAAAGATGGAAAACACAATTTCAAAAAACCTATCTACCTACTTTTATTCTATCTCCTCTGCAAAGGGGAAAGCTGAAACACAGAGAAATTACAAGACTTACCCAAGGCCACATAAAATCAGTGGCTGTGTCAGGAATGAAACCTAGATCATCTGAAACAAAGCCAACACTTTATTAGGCTTCAAAATATCTCTTCTGCCAGTTTATCTGCTCATAAGGAGAATGTACTAAAAAAAAAATAATAGCACAGCTATAAAATACAGAAAGAGATCTAGTTCTGATTGTAGGCGCTCTCCACAATTTCTTTGGTTTTAAGTCATATACTTCCTCAAAATACTATCGTGCATCTGAACTCGTAAGCACAATGAAAGAAAAATGCACACAGCAACACTACTCTGCTCAGCAGCCCCTCCCACTATGAAGTGACTCACTAAAGCAGCTCAGTAACAAAAGCTTCTTCCTGCCCACGAGAGCAAGAATGGAAGAGAGCACATGCGCCCATCCATGCACTCTTTGCAGATGCTCTTCTGGAAAAAAAATTTGGTCTTCAAAAATAAATGAGCAAAAGTTATTCCTCCTCATGAAGTATCAGACATTTCTCTTACCTCAGCTCCCAACCTTCATCAAGTTATTGATCAGAATCAAAACATTTTAATAACGCATATTTTGTGAGAGTTTTGGAATGGAAAAAAAGACCTTAGTTTCCCTTTCACCGCACTGTGCCTATGACCCATATATTTGGGTCCTGACTTAGCACACCTTCTTTATCATTTTGCCTAATTCAGTCTCTACATAGTGTAAGAGGTTCTCATTTCTCCCTCCTGCCATATTTGGGAAAATTGCTGCAATGACAGAGCAATGTACTCAAACCAGGAGATGGAAGCCCCCATGTGTGATGAGCACCCAGAGAAGCCCAGTTTGTCCTTTTGCTCTCCCCAGTGCAGTCCCCTCACACAACCCACATTTTATTTGATGTGCAGAAGGAATCAAGGCTATGGAACAAGCAGCTTCTCGGCAAATTCTCAATGAGTTGCAGATTTTGGAAGGCACACTGCAAGTGAGACAAAAGATTAACAGAAGACGGCACAATTTTATGGTTAGGGTGAATGAATGCCATCTCTGCTTGGCAACTTAATTTTTCCAAAAACTCAAGAATTTACTCAACATAAGCTTTGACATTGGCTACTCATTGCATTACCTGAAATGAAGATGGATATTAGCTGAAAATTCACCTGAACACACAAAACATCACAGAAATGCCTACCATCAGCACAAATGTCACTTTTTTTAGCGGATGTCAAGTATCCAGAAGATCAGACATGGAAAATAAGTTGGCAGCTCTGCCATTAATCTGATCACCTCTACAGAATGAGAATAATAATATCACACAATTGTTCAATACTGTTATGAAACTGAAGGCACTCATGGGGATGCTCCACTCAAGTGCTGTGGTGTAGCTCTATGGAAGCACTTAAAGAAATTATTAACTCTTTTTAACTGAGTGCTTGAATGCCACTTTAGTAAAAAACAAATAAAACCCACATGTATAGTCTTTCAGCAAATACGGGATAAAATGAAACACTGAAAAGCAGCCTGGTCACTGAGGCAATCTATTTTGATAGATGTTTTGCTCTTTGATGGTGACACCCTGCTCCACATGTATTCACATCCCTACAGCCTCTGTGGGAGCCATTCAGCTGTTGCAGGGCCACATGGTGAGCCAGGTCAGGGAAGTGACCCACGTTAACAAAAAATAGCCTGCTGAGGCAAAAAAAGGTCAAACAGGTTTCCAGTGGAGTTCTGCCTAGATACATTCTAGAGCTGTACCAGCACAAGAAGAGAAGGGGACAGAAGGAGGGTACAGAGACAGGCCTGCTGGAGCAGATGCTACAGCACAGATATTCACCAGCCAAACCCAGAATGAGGCAGTGATGATCATAAAGGGGGTATAAATGTGTGGTAATACAAACACAATACTACTAATAGAATAGTTTGGGTCAGAAGGAACCATAAAGATCATCTGGTTCCAAGCCCCCTGTCATGGGCAGGGACACCTTTCACTAGACCAGGTTGCACAGAGCCCCATCCAACCTGGCCTTGAACACTTCCAGGGATGGGGCATTCACAACTTCTCTGGGCAACCTGTGCCAGTCTCACCACCCTCACCATAAAAAAAATATTCTTAATATCAAATCTAAATCTATCATGAGTAGGGTACAGAGAACAGAACTGAAGTTAAGGACATTTTAGGTGTTTGACTTTGCTACCTTGTGTCCTTCTACTGGAAGTCCTGTGTTTTCATAACTACTACTACTATTATTATTATTATTATTATTATTACTACTACTACTACTACTACTACTACTATTACTATTATTACTATTTTACAGAATTTTCACACTGCAATGCCAGGTAACATTCAGATTCTCACCCATGCAGAAATGGAATCCTGTGGCACCATACTCACACCAGCATCATTTATCTGTATCACAGGATCACATGGGCTCTCCCAATCATGCTAATGAACTAGCTAGAAGTGCTAGGTTATTACTTCATGTTCAATAAAACTAAAAATATATTAAACCAGAGGTTTTACAGCCACCAAATTTGCAGGATATTCAATAATTCAATAATTCAATAGCCAAGAATATTTGGAATCCAAATTTGCATTTGCTACCACAGAGATCTTTAGAACCTAAAAGATTAAGAATTCAATTCGATGCCTAACTGTAGTCCATAGCAAAACTCCCACAAACTCAGTCATGCAGAAAGAGCTCTCTTAACTAATGTCTCTGAAGTACACATAATTCTAACAGAAGAGCCCTTAACAGCTTTTCATTTACTTAAGTAAAAGGGAAACCGAGTTAAATATCCATTTCTAGTAGGAACAGTGACTGTAGAAATAATGGAAACTGGTAACATAATTTAAATAACACAGGCAGCAGCCAAGAGGGAATAGGACTTCCTCTACATCCATTAGTGAGGAATTATTTTTGCATTTGGTCCCATATTACTAAACTTACCTCTCTACACAGCATTCTCTTGATCAAGTTCATAGCAAATCTGCTGAGTTACTTTCAATAGCTTCATAATGGATTAAAATAATTTTCTATAGTAGTAATTTCACTTTACTCACAATATTAGCCCAAGAAAGAGCATTTGCTTTTAAGAAAAACCCCTACTTCCCTTAAGCTCCATTAAAGTTTTGCTTGATAAAGACTTCATGAGTCGCCCATGCCACAGAATCAGTATTTCAAGTGGACAAGACCTATCGGCTGCAAACGAGGGGCCGGCTCATTTACACACGCCGTTCCTTGTGGCACTTCACCCGCACGCTCATCTTCCCTTCATCTCCTTCCCCCTGCCTTATGCAAGTGGCCACGCTCCTATTCCTCTGCATCTCAAGAGCCAGTCTGCAGCTGCAGGCGGCCCGAGGAGAGGAGTAGGAGAAATGATATATTGCAGATATTTTATTTTTGGAAACCACACTGTAAATAAAGCCATTTCCAGAGATATTCCATGGACACGGAGTGCTTGGTCGCAGAGCCAGCGCCTTATGTAACAGGAGGAGTATTGTTTAGGGTTGCCTGCATTAAAGAGCCACTCCTGGTAACACAGTTTACAAAGCTATAAAAAGCTACCAGCGTAACTATCGAGAAGCAGGCAAGCGGTTTATTACCAAAAGGTTGGTGCTAACCGGAAAAAAAAAAGGAAAGTTTCATTAAATCGCTCAACTTTCCGTCACTCGGAGGGCATCACCTCGGCTGACACTTACTGGGAGCGGGAAGGTGGGGGCTCCTAGGCAGCCCGGCGCAGCCCCATGGCCAGGTGCTGAAGACAGCTCTGCCGCCTCCCTGCAGCCCGCGCCGCCCGCAGCCGCCTTCAGTGATCTTCCATTAAATTCCGCTTTATTCCCCCGCGCCGATCACCGACAAGTGGCAGAGCCCAGCGATCCCGCGATTCGGCCTCCCGCTCCTCTTATTCCGAGCGACCGTCAGCCTCTGGAAAAGCGTGAGCAGACAGGATCACTTGGACATGCACAGGCGCTCACAAGCAGCTGTAAATTTCCACTCCCCGCTGCCTGCGGCTGGACTCGCGGCTCCTCGCTGCTCCTGCTCCGACCAGCTCTGTGCCTGGCTGTGCGTTTTCCCCCACCGCCCTCCCCGCTTCCCACTCTCTCACTCGTCTTGCTCACAGGCTCACAAACACACCCCCCAAACTCCACGTCAGAGGAACACGTGGAAAAGCAAAGGATGAAGCGATCGCTCCGCCGAGAGATTTCCCCAGGGTTAAGGGAGGACATGCGACAATTTCGCATCACTTCTGTAAGTTTCCATTCCTCTCCAAAGTCTGCCGGTGCAGGGAGAGGCATCGCTGCCGGGTCCTCGCACCATCACGTGGCTGCTGGAATTAAATTATTCACCTTGCCGTCCTGCTAGGAATGCAAATAAGGGAGCCCAACTGCGGGTTGTTGTTACAAGATAGTAACAAAATCAACATGCTCACGCACCACATCTTTCAGCAAAGTCCTGTCCTTCAGAAAAGCTGAAGTTAAGCTGCTTCTTGCCTGACTATATGTTATTACACAAAGATCCAAATACTTTTCCGCAATCATACTTGAGGGGAATAAAGAAAAAAAAAAAAAAAAAAAGACCTGCAGAATACTCTGCGCAAAATTTAAATCCTGATGAAGAAAAAAACATTAGCCCAAAGTATTTTTTCAAAGGCTAATGTGATGGGGAAAAAAACCAACAAAAAAACCATAAAGTGTTCTGAAACAAGTACTACCAGCTATTATCAAGCATACAAATACAGCAAAATGTAATTAAAGGAATTTTTAGTGCTTCACTTTTCTCTCTTGGCAACTATTGTTTGGCAAGAGCCACACACTTCCAAAGGGAATGGCAAGTTCTGTCCCCTTTGCCCCCCAGCTGTTGAGAGCAGGGAAAGAAGGATGCCTTACTATGGGCACTAAAAGGTGGGATTTAAAATGTATCCTCATCTGGATCTTGGCTGAGTCCCAGAAGGGATGTGTGCCCAGCATGTCTTTCTGTCAAGCTCTCCAGCTCGGGGGAAAATCTTTACCTCCCATCACTTCTTCCACAGGGCATAGCCTAGCCAAAGTCCTACATTATTAAAAATAATTTGGTATGCTACATTTGCTTGGGGAGCTGATTGCAGAGTTAGCAGCTCTACAGTTGCATCAGATCTTGATTTAAGGCTCACCTGCAGTAGCTATTCACATTAAAGGCAGCCAAAAAACACATGAGAAACCTTGTTTCTAAGGAATACAGATGAAACACACACCTTTTAAAAGGCTACCAGCCTTTGCTTGCAATGCCAGCTCCAAACTGAAGCACACAGGAGTATCCCAAATCCTCACTTTGAAGAGTCACTTGCCTGTCCCTCCTGGGTTCAGAGAGGCAGAAGCCATCCCTGCACCCTTAACCTCCCTGGATTTGTTCCTGCCTTTGCACAGGAAGAACCAAGCCAACCTTAGATCAGCAGATTTGTACTCTCAACTTATCTATAAAGCATGTCACCATTTCTGCTCACACTTTACCTAACAGATCATCAAGATACTGCAGCCCTGTGTTTTTGGAGTGCCCTGAACAGCACTGGGAACAGGGATTAATTAGTGCTGCTCCTGCTGCACCAGAAAGCACTGCAACAAGTGACACTAAGTAGCAATTTCTGCTCCAAACCCCCTGTGAAATATTCTTCCAGCACTGAATTAAAGGCTTCGCATTAGCCATCACTGGCCAGGTTTCCTCTCCAGGCCACCTCCACAGAAAGCTTAACAAGGGACACCGTGGACACCATGCTCGGAACAGGATGAGCCACCCTTCAAGGCAGCTTCCATCTCCACAGAGCTTAGGAGGCACATGAACAACCTGCACAGATGTGTCATGGCATGAAGGACTTGGGGAGAAAAACTGGCACTGGGCAACTTTTGGGGGGTTCCCTGCTCTGTCCCAGCTGGGTGGGAGAGGAAAGGGGTGCCAGTCCTTGTGGTACCTTACACCCATTCTGGCATTGGCCCTTTCTTTTTTATTGAATACCTCAGCCTTTGGATAAACAGTGAAAATCGAATGATAAACACTCTGCCCTTGGGCTACTTCTGAAGGCACTGGCTTTTCCTACAGCAACACAACAATCAAAATACATCACTGCTTCCACTGTGTGTTTTTAAGAGAAAAACTTCTTTCCTCTACCTCTCTGTCTTGGGTTGCAAGGTGTCCCAAGAGAAATTATATCTTTTCCATTGTAAATCCACGATCACTTCAACAGGTAAAACCCCAACTTTTTGTTGTACCATGGAGTTTAACGGGGGTAGATGTTACCCTGAAATCAAACTATCACAAAAAAAGATTGAAATATCACCAAAAAAGCTGTTTTAGTTGCACATAAGGGACAGTGGGGATAATTTGTGTACCACTGCATTCCATAAAGTATTCACAGATGATTCTGAGTATCCTGGCTCTTTGGAAGTATAAGAAATTTATCTACAAAGTAACTGTCCTCTGTTTCAGACTAAATAGGCTTGTTTTCCTGATTCAGAGCAATAAACTGAATTTGCATTCAATTACAGTTCAACTTTGCTCATCTTCTACCTGAGGAAGTAGGGCTTTAATAGGAGCCCTCTACACAGCAGGAGAGCAAGAAACCCACCTGCCTCCATCCCTTCATTGCAGAAGAAGAAACTGTGCAAAACAAGGTAGCTAAAGGGGCAGGGGGAAAAAGATTCTCTGTTTCATCTTAAGTAGAGTTAATTCTCAGATGACAGGAAAAGGCCCTGTCCATTAAGGTGTTAATTAAGCCATAATTACTTGGTGCTCTTATCTGTTGGTGTTTTTTGGTTTTTTTTAAGCCAAGAGGTTATTAAACATTTCTAAAAATGTTTTCTTCAATTCCTAATTTGTAGCCATCTAAAATCTAGAATGATGTAATTTAAAATAGACAAAAAATCTTTACAATCTCAAAGTACATGGAAAAAAAATCTCTGCACTGCTAAAGTACTCCAGCTTCCACATATTTAAATTTCATTATATTTGTTTCCTTTAAAGAGAGCAGAGTCCTCAGGCTAAGGCATGGTTAAAGTACTTTTGAGAAACATTTATCCCTGCTTTCATAACTTAAAATCATTCCATCTAATAAAAAACAAAGGAAGAAAACTCTGGTTGATTTTCCCTGCCCTTTCCATTTTCCTTCTAATGTGGAAAAGAGAAATTAGGGTACTTCAACAATGAATTAAATAAATTACAGCAGCAGATGATAAACACACAGCATATATATATATATTAATTCTGCTTATTTAATCATCCACTTCCAGTCTGTGTACCTCCTCTGAGATTACTTCCAGCATTCCAAAGCCCTAAGCAGCCTCTAATAATAATAACAACAAAATCCTTCCTTCCCCCCAAATTGCTCAATGCCCCAGGCCATCAAAATTCAGTTCTCCACAGCAACAGGTTTAGTTGTGTAATGCTGAATATCAAGAGGAGAAGCTTTAGCATACTAAAAAGATTCCCCCACCCTCCAAAACCTGAAAACTAAAGAACATCCCCCACAGGATTTCATGCTATTCTTACAAATCCCAAGATACCAACATTTTGGCAGTTTATTGGGGTGGAGGGGAACTGAAAACAAGTAATTTATATAATCTGCATCGTAAAGCTGTTACACTTTAACTCAGAGCAATTAGTTTTACGGCAGAGCAATATAAAAAGTGCCCAACAACACTTCTAAAACCTCATAAAATAAGATGCTTTACAGTAACTTCATACTTCTTTGTTATTCTGCGAGTTCACAGACATTCAATTTCTTCAGAGCAATGTGGTCACTTCAGATTAATGCAAATAAATTCTTCTTCATCAAGTAGAACCCAAATACAGACATGCAACACTCACACTTTCTCTCCATGTAATCTTGGAGGGAGACAAGCTTGGAACTGAGCCTGTATGTCAGTACCCCCAAAACAGCTACCAGCACCAAAAGGCAAATTAACATTTGGCTGCTCATCCAAATGCAAAATAAGGCAGAAAAAGGGGTACAGTCTATGGAGGCAGGTGACTTTCCCTACAGCCATGTTAAAAGCAGCAAAGCTTCTGGCCTCTCTTGGGACTAGAAAATTGAAATTTCTTCAGTGAAGTGTGGAAAACAGAGAGCAGCAAGGTGCAGTGGCTGACCTGTAGCTGCATTTTAGCTGAAGTGAGTGGAAGGATTTAAATGGATGCTTTATAAAAGCTACTCCTAAAAATGCAGACATGTCTTCAACGATTATTTTCCCCTCTTCTTCCTCCTAGCTCCCTCTAGCGCTTTTAAGTACATACGGCCTTCTCCTTCCTCATTTATTTAATGCAAATACAGTTGCTAAGATGTCTGGTTTAGCTGGGGTTTTGGGGGTTTTTAAGATCTGCAATAGCTCTTATAAACTGCTCATGAATTTTTACTGAATATGTTATTCATGTGTACAATCACTCCAGAAACTAAGCACTGACAGTGGCTTTTCTGCCAGAAACTTTTGTGTATTAATACTTCATGTACAGGCCAGTGTATTTAAAAGTTTACTCATTTTAAAGGCATCCAGCTCAATCATTAGAGAAAGCCAACTAAAATGAATCCCTTTCCTTGAGCATTCCTACTCTCAAGGGAATTGTGTCTAAAAAGAACGTTACTACAGCCCAACAACTGAAAAATATAGCACATTAAAATTTTATGTCTGCCCTAAAGTCACTTATAAAATGTTAATTGTGCCCCTTATCTACTGTGTCCCAACACAAAACACAAATGATAACCATACCTGCACTCCCACTTTTATGAGCAGAGGAACAGTAAAATTATGACATCATGCTCTTTACCTGCAGACTCATGCAAACAGAAACTAGCTCCCCAAAATAGGTGACTGACTGAAGAGCCATGCAAGTATTTTTAAAATAATTAAAGCTTTCACCTCTCCAAATTGTTTCTATCCCAGTTCTGTACTGTCAATCACCCTAGTGGCCATGTTTGTTTGTTTCTTCAAGGTCCATCCACAGAATTAAAAATGGGAAGAGGAAAGATCATTTCAAGCGGTGCAACAAAAAGAGCTTTGCTGATGACCTAAAACCACTCATCACATGTGTGCCAGTCTTGCAGTTTCTA